AGCACAAATCTTCTTCCAAGGTTCTTCCATTTGCCCTATTTGTCTATGTTCTTCATTTTGCTTTTCCTGTTATTGTAAAACAAAATTGCGTCTTTTGTTTGCAGGAGGATCATAGGCCCACAGTTGTAGAAGACGATGACTCCTATTATGTCGAGGATTTAGATGATGATTATCGTGATGGTATAACTCTGAATTAAATTGAATTGATTTTTTGGATGATTTGGATGACCTGAGTGAGTGAATTGTGTGTGTATATATGTATATATGATTAAAGGTGATAGGGAAGGAAAAAAGAGAGATTTTAGCAAGCTAGAACTTAAACCAGATCACACTAACCGGCCGTTATGGGCTTGTGCCGATGGTCGGATTTTCCTCGAAACTTTCTCCCCTCTCTACAAACAAGCTTATGATTTTCTTATCGCCATTGCCGAGCCTGTTTGCAGGTATATATCATATATATGTTTTTTTAAGTATATTAGTACATGGGTTGGTTTTTGAATTCGTGTTTTTATAGTCTTTTGAATTTATATATGAAATTGAATATGATGTATATAGGCCAGAGAACATGCATGAATACAACTTGACCCCTCACTCCTTGTATGCCGCGGTATCAGTTGGTCTCGAAACTGAAACCATTATATCTGTTTTGAGTAAGTTGTCAAAGACCAAGCTCCCCAAAGAGATGATTGATTTCATTCATGCTTCAACTGCCAATTATGGCAAAGTGAAGCTTGTACTTAAGAAGAACCGGTACCTTGTCGAATCTCCATTTCCAGAGGCAAGATGGGTTTCCTTTTTTAATTTTTTTTTGGGTGGCTATATTGGATGGAAATATTGGGTTCATAATGATATATGTATAATACTTGCAGGTATTGAAGAGATTGCTTAAGGATGAAGTTATAGCTCGAGCAAGGATTTCTTCTGAGGTTTGTGCTAAATGCTCTTAAGTTTGCTAGATTGGTCTCTTCATTTTCTTCATGGTATAGCTCTTTAATTATCATATTCTTCCTGCTTGATTTCGGTTGTGGTTCAAATGTTTAGAATTGTTGTGATTCGTTGTGCTTTCCAGTCAAGAGAATGAATGTCTATGTTCTTCCTGCTTGACTCCTGGCATGGTGTAGATTGATATAAACATTATCATCTAGGTGCAAGGTAGTGTCCATGCATGCATTTGGTTGGTTTAATTCTGTAGGAGGCATGAATGTTCTGAAGTTTTATGCATTGTCCTTTTCCCAAGGAGCCTTTGTGGATGAGGTTTGGTTTCTAGGTTGAGCATATCTTTCTGAACTCATTCTTTTTTTGTTTCTCCGTCTTGAACAAAATTTTGTCTGCCTGCTTGGCAAACCTACACACACACACACACACACACACAAAGCATGCATTTCCTGACCTAACTTTTGAATACATTCATACGTGGATCTTGGTTAGGGAGCGCATGGAAGTGATGGATTTACAATTAGCAAATCAGTGGGTGAAATAGAAAATGGGCACAACGAGTTACTAAATGAAGCGGAATTGGCAGCTGTAGCTGAAGAAAAAGAAACTCATTCCTTTGAAATTGACCCTGCTCAGGTAGACTTCATGAATCCTTTGAAACTAGTCAAATTGAATACATGGTTCACATTGCTCCAGTTCTGTAGCAGCCATATTATGCCCTGGGAAGAAAGCAAATGCAAGAAATCCTGTATTTTACACTTTTGTACAATGGAGTCCTGGGTTTTTGAATTAGTGTAAAAAGATGTGCTTCAAATTAATGGTGTTTGATTCGAACCTGTTCTTAAAAGTTGAGATATTTTACTCGTATCTGGCCTGGTTGATTTCCAGAGGAAATAGATCTCTGTTCTGTACTCTTATCAAAGTATATTTTTTTGGGTGGTAGATATAGCTCCTACTGGAATTTTATGTGTTATAAGATAGATAAGGTCAGCGGAATGAATGGCTTTTAGCTGGGAAGCTAGAATATGCAATTGGTATCAGTTCTGTTGAACTCTAATTTTAGGCAATTCCTGGTTATTTCAGTTTAGATTGGTCAATTCAGTTGGAACTGTTATGTTGGGTATTTTGGTTGATGAAAAGGCATGCTGTGAATGAATAAAATCCCATGATGGAAGGTGGATTATGATCCACTTGTCAGAAATTGTTTCTCAATTTACTTTCTAAAATTTCCCTCATCTTTGTCAACCTTCAGACATGAGATCCAATATGCTATATTCATTTAGACTTATAGTTCCGAGGTCAACTATGCAATGTGGCTTTGCTTTGTTTTAGGAGCTTAGAAAAGAAGTTCCACTGTCCACTTTCTTCTACTAGTTGAAATAGCAATGTTACTGAACTTCTTTGCACTGGGTGATAGTTTTCTTTTTATCATGTTATTTCAGGCTTGCGGGAATTATGTCAGTACTTGTTTAACTATGTTATATGGACTCGGGGTATAAGGGATATGGGTATAGGGATGCTTCATGAACAATATACATATTGCATATTGCATAATATTTTAAATAAGACATTGCAAATTATATAGAAATGTACTCGAAATTAAATAGGATTTAGGAAAAATATGGAATTTATATTTCTCATCAATGTGAGAGGCCAAAAATGTTTCTTTGTTAGCAAATGTGAGTTTCTTTTTCTTCAAACATTGTAAAAAAATTAGAGAACCCAAGTGTCTAAATTGGATACGAGTGTTAGACACATATCCTACATCCTTACCCTTGTCATATTCGGTGGACATTGGTACATCACTAGAAACAGAAGAGCTCAAGAGTGATTTAGACGATGACTGAACCTCACATAGGGGTTGGGTCTGTGGATTGGGTAATCTCTAAAGAAGACCCGTCTTTTGAGGTTGTATTCCTATTGTACATTAGCCGGCCATTATGAGGAACTGCAAGAAATGAACTATATTATGATGGAATGGTATTAAACTACTGTTTATTGTATTTATATGTATCTATGGTTGATCATGAAACTCTTTTTCACAATGAACCCTAGTGATCATATCATAATAACCTGAATCAATGTTTTCTATTTTGATGGCAAAGTCGAGTTGTTCACTGAAAGGATGATTGTATGATATCTTTGCTTTCTATGATTGTCAATGAGAGCATGTGCTTTATGAAAAACTAGTTATTAGAAAATTTAGGTTTTTATATATTTTTTGATTGGATTTATTTTTCTGTATGGACAGGTTGAAAATGTAAAGCAGCGGTGTTTGCCAAATGCTTTAAATTATCCTATGCTGGAGGAGTATGACTTCAGAAATGATACTGTGAGTAATTTCTTAAATTTGTCCTTGCTTTAGGAATGTTGAGATGTTGATGAGTGATCTAAATTAAAGGATAAGTAATCTTGCCATGTCACATAGTTAAATGTTATATTGCAGTTCTCATAGGCTCTCTGCTGCATCAATTTAAGAATCTTTTTTGACACCAGGTCAATCCTGACCTTGATATGGAGTTGAAGCCTCAAGCACAACCTCGGCCTTATCAGGAAAAAAGTCTTAGCAAGATGTTTGGAAATGGTAAGGTCATGATTGGGTGCTTGTACGTTGTTACTCATGTGCTTGTGTGTATGTGTGTGAGCATCAAACATTCACAATTGAAGATATGTAGTTACTCTTTTTACATTCATGCCTTTTGTCTCCTTCTTATCCTGCTTGGCCATTAATGGTCATGATTTTTACACCTAATCCTTGTGAGTACATGTATTTGGCACTCTTATGCTGCTCACCATGTCATCACCATGTGTTTTCCACATCACCATCTCCAATGGGTTTGGATTCAAGTGGCAGCCTCGCCAGGTGACATGTGGGTTAATCATACATCTTCACAATCTTTTTAGGAGTTGAGCCATGCCAGCTGATGATATCCTCGAGCCTAGCCACTGAGGGACTCTAAAGGCATCTCCTAGCTTGATCAACTAAACTGTGTTGGAGGAACCCCTCGACTGGGCCTAGTGAACCTCTATTTGGGTGCATCACCTTCTCTGCTCACACTTGGCACCCCCTAACCTAATTGTGTAGCTCTTCACTTGATCGTGTTTTCATTCTTGTCTCTTTCCAAGTCCCAATCTCTTGGAAGAATTAGTCACACTCACTCTTTGGCCGTGTGTGCCTATTTCCATGCGCCTATGCTAGGTTCTCCCTTGGCTTGGCTAAGTAGCCTTTCTAATTGAGCCCTTGATTCCAAAAGGCACCTTGATGCTATAATGTCTATTGAGATCAGTAGCCGTGCCTAGAAACCTTCTTGGGGTTGGTGCTGTGGTTATGGAGGGCCAAGCAACGCTGTAAACCTCCCATGAGATTGATTACTAGAGTCTTGTGACTTGGTGACTAGAGCTAAAGGTTTATCAAGGGTCCTTATGTCATCCTCCCTCAAGGGACATGCACCTCGATTGGTCTAAGAGAGATGATGGCTGCACAAAAAGACAAATCTAGACCTTGACCAAGACACGTGGTGTGTTCCATACTCATCCTTAATATCAGCATACCTATCTACCCGTTGCAAGCTCTGAGGATTTTGAATATTGCAGCTCTGTTAGTTGCTGTCTTCACATTGTTGGGTTGAGGATGAGCCACCTGTACCTAAGCACGGGACACCGTGCATGGGTGACTGGCCTCTAAGGTCTGATTCTGTATAAAAAGGAGGTCTCCATCTCCATGCATGCAAAGCAATTATGCTACAATAACCTTCTTCTTTGACAAGCTTAGACGTTCTCTATTGCAAAAATTTCTTCTCTCTCCATCTAAGAGTATCTCAACTCGCACTGCTTCCACCTCTGGTGGTTTGTGTCAACTTGCCTACCATAAGTTCCCAAAGGGCTCTACTCCAGTCCACCCACTACCATCCATCGACAATGATTAAACAACTCTAATTCAATATGCATACTTATAAAGGTTTAAGAAGACATTTAATCTCACTTCACTAACCTATATCAATGCTTGGGCTTAGGTTGTATTTCATTCAACTAAAAAGACTAAAATCCAATGCAAATTGTTGTTGCAAATACCTAATAAACTTGAATTTTTTTTATAACAAATTAATAAAGGCAGTTGAAAAACCTATCAAGTTAAGGGGGAATGAGATGACACTATTGCATGGCTAACTGTGCTCTCTGGAGTCCTGAATACTGCATCTATAGGGAGTGTAATTGAAATGGGGATGTTGGGATAGTGAAGTGTTTGCAAAAGATGAGATGTAAAAAGAAGAGAAAGAAGAGAAGTCATTTATGCAAGACAAGTAGTAGCAATTGGGGATGATGACTATTGACCAGTGAATGCAATTGTCAGTATGGTTAGTATGTGAATTTTGAACTGTGAGATTTGGGTTACTACAAGCACAAGAATGAGGCTAAAGTTCACTTATTTGTAAGCATCCAAGGATGGATTTAGGGGGGTGCAGAGGGGGGCGACTGCACCCCCAAAAAATTTGAAAAATATTAAATTTACACTGGAAAATTTAAAAATATTTTAAAATTATAAGGGTTTGCATCATCAAACATTCTTTTGCACCTCCATATTGATAATCCTAGATCCGTCAGCATATAATGGTCCTTGAACTTAAAAGCATATAGCATTATCATGGTCAATGTCTTGCGACAATGAATAGTTGGAAGGATGATAATACTATATTATATATTCATTTTCCCAGTCTTGCACATACATCTAGAGGGCTCTTCAAAACGATAAGTTTGTGTCCTTATGTGTAGCTACTTTGCCACCTGTCTTGTCCTGTTGCTCCTAGTGATATTTGCATTTTATGCTGTTCATTGCTTAGGTCCTTTCGTTACCTGTGTCTTTGCTAATCTTCTTTTGTGGTCTTGAAAGTACTGTGCATGCTGTAGTACATTTAAATTGTTTTGTTGCTTCATTCATGTCTATATTGTTGTCAAGAAGGCATGCATAAATGCGGCATATTAATATGTTATTATGCATTTTATTTCAGAAGAACCACAAATTTGTGGTCTTGAAAGTACTGTGCATGCTGTAGTACATTTAAATTGTTTTGTTGCTTCATTCATGTCTATATTGTTGTCAAGAAGGCATGCATAAATGCAGCATATTAATATGTTATTATGCATTTTATTTCAGAAGAACCACAAATTTGTATTCAAGGGGACTGAGGGTTGATCTTTTGGTCGATATTTCAGGTAGAGCGAGATCTGGCATTATTGTATTACCTTGTGGTGCAGGGAAGTCTCTAGTTGGTGTCTCTGCAGCCTGCCGAATAAAGAAGAGCTGCCTTTGTTTAGCGACAAATGCTGTTTCTGTGGATCAATGGGCATTTCAGTTTAAGTTGTGGTCAACCATACGAGATGAGCAGATATGTCGGTTCACTTCTGATAGCAAAGAAAGATTCCGTGGTAATGCTGGGGTGGTTGTGACAACTTATAACATGGTTGCATTTGGTGGTAAACGGTCTGAAGAATCTGAAAAGATTATTGAAGAAATAAGAAATAGAGAATGGGGATTGCTTCTCATGGACGAGGTATTTTTTGTTATAGCATATGATAGGAACAGTCTAATCGTTAAAAAAATGAACATATTGTTTTATTTATATTATAGTTTTTCTTTTTTGCTTATTTGTGTTGGTTTAGGTGCATGTGGTTCCGGCTCACATGTTTAGAAAGGTCATCAGCATAACCAAGTCCCACTGCAAACTTGGGCTTACTGGTATGTGATTGACAAAATTGATTTAGATGCATTTCCAACAATTTCACTTGTTTGATGAAAAGTGAAAGTACTGACTTAATTTTACTGCAGCAACACTTGTGAGAGAGGACGAAAGGATCACAGATTTGAACTTTCTTATTGGCCCCAAATTGTATGAAGCAAATTGGTTGGATTTAGTTAAAGGAGGATTTATTGCAAATGTTCAGTGTGCTGAAGTTTGGTGTCCCATGACAAAGGAATTTTTCGCTGAATATCTGAAGAAAGAAAATTCTAAGAAGAAACAGGTCCGTCAGTTGTAATAAATATTTTCTAAAGTCGTAAATAAGCAATCTATTTGTTTTTTTTTATTTCATTTTAAAATTTGCGTTATGTTAATATATATATATCTTAAGAATTTCATGGTTGGCTGTTTTTTTACTGTTGCATGAATTTTTTACTTCTAGTTACTGCTTCCTTGTTTTTATTCTCCCACATATTGATTGGTGCTTGTATTTCCAGGCACTTTATGTGATGAACCCTAATAAGTTCCGGGCCTGTGAGTTTCTTATTCGGTTTCATGAACAACAGCGTGGTGATAAGATAATTGTTTTTGCTGACAATCTTTTTGCGCTGACGGAGTATGCAATGAAGCTCCGGAAACCTATGATCTATGGTGCCACCAGGTTTTTGGATGCTTTTTTTTCCCGATGAATATTTCATGGACATCCAGGTTATTACTGACTTTCTTTTACTCGTGTTATTCACACATTTATAGAAGGTGGTCTCTGTTGTAATTGTGCAGCCATATGGAAAGGACAAAGATTCTTGAGGCTTTCAAACTTAGTCGGGATGTAAATACTATTTTCCTCTCAAAGGTATTCTATATTCGTATAAATAGTCAATTTAGTATCTGGTTCTACAGTAATTTCAAAATCAAGTCAGCCAAGCTTTAATTTCTTTGCTTCTATGTGGCTTTCACTACTTGTAACCAATTCATATTGAAATGCAATATAAGCAAAGATGAATAGAGCTGTGTGCTTGCTATTCATCAGCAAACTTGCTTATTGTTGTCAACAAATTTAGTTATGTTGTTTCATGCAAGCTTTATTTATTTATTTATCTTTTCATCCTCTCTCTCTCTCTCTCTCTCTCTCTCTCAGGTTATTGTGCCTTTCAGCTCATTTTACAATGTACAGACTTTGAAAAGTTGAGATTCCTTGTTGGCTGATGTTATTGCTTCTGTTTTTCACAGGTTGGTGATAATTCGATAGATATTCCTGAGGCCAATGTGATAATTCAAATTTCCTCACATGCGGGTTCAAGACGTCAAGAAGCCCAACGACTTGGTCGTATTCTTAGGGCAAAGGTTTGTGCTTTATTATTATTATTATTATTATTATTTTTAGAACCATTTGGTTTATGATATTGTCATCCACTCTAATTTCAGATACGAATTGGGAATCATCATCTGAGTGGACATATTTAATTAAGGCTGTGTACTAAAATTTAGCTTAGCCTTTTGATTTCATCATTTAAATTTAACACAAATAACAAAGTTAATTAGCAGTGAAAAACATTTTAGAATGTCTCAGAAAAAAATGCCCAAATTTGAACGTTAAAATATTCTGATACCCTGCTGATTTTTATTGAACATAATGCACCACCATAACTGAGAGCCATGAATTCTTTTTTCTTTTTCTTTTTTTTCTCTTTTAAATTTGGGCTGTTTTGCATCAAGAAAATTGAAGGTTCCAGTTATACAGTATCAAGAGATGGTATCATCTTGTAAATTTCAAACTTTTGAGGCAATCACTTGATGAGTTCTTCAGGATTGAGGCAACCGCTTTAAGAGGAGTTGATCTATATAGCTTTTTGATTGTGTGAATCAATGGTTATTTCAGTGAAAGCTTGCAGTTCGGATAGGATTTCTTTCTTAACATGCTCGTTGTTATGTAAAGTTTGTTATTGGGTTGACAGGGGCGTATTCAAGACAGATTGGCCGGGGGTAAAGAGGAGTATAATGCATTCTTCTATTCACTTGTATCTACAGATACACAGGTATTCCAATCTTTTTCTTTCCATTTTTTTTGGTCACTTGAAATATCTTTAAACCATAATTAAACTTAGGATTTCACCAATGCTGCATACTCTCTCTTTTGATATGCTGTATACTAAATTCGTCTAATGTTGGATCCAGGAAATGTACTACTCGACTAAAAGGCAGCAATTCTTAATCGATCAAGGTTATAGCTTTAAGGTAAGGACTTTTATCATGTTGTGGGCGAGTCAAGTGAATTTTTGCTTCAAAATTAGTTTCCCACTGGAATTTGGGTCATTTGTGGGCATGTGAGCTTGTGAAGTGTTGGTTGCCTCATATTTTTAACTTCTTTTTTCCCCCTTGTAGTAAAGATGAAGGTGCATTTGTAATGTGTTAGCAGCTAAAGTCGACTTTGAAATGCTTGTTGGATTTTCTTCTTGTGCTATTAGATACTAACTAAAACTACTGTCAGGTAATTACGAGCTTGCCTCCACCTGATTCGGGACCTGATTTGAGTTACCATCGCCTTGAGGATCAAATCGCCCTGCTGGGAAAGGTCTCTCTCTCTCTCTCTCTCTCTCATATTATGATGGTGTCCCTCCCTTGTGTCGCCAAACTCACTGAAATTTTTACCAAACAGGTATTGAGTGCTGGTGATGATGCAGTTGGATTAGAGCTATTAGAAGAAGATGCAGATGACATAGCCCTTCAAAAAGCACGTCGCGCTGCTGGATCTATGAGTGCCATGTCGGGAGCAAATGGAATGGTTTACATGGAATACAAGTATGTCTATTTTGTTTGTCTTGCCTTCCTAGGATTTAATTTACCATTTCGATATTATGAATAAAAAGGGTCAAAGTTCACTTTACCCCTTGTGGTTTGGCTCATGTTTTATCATTTGAAAATAACCACATAACCACATTGTGGTTTGTAGACTGAAATGCACCGTTAGCTTTTCCATCAAAGTTAACATTTTTTGGACAGCGAAGCGCCAGTACAGAGTATGCTATTTTTTAAGATAAAATAACACTTGCACCCTTTCAATTTACAAAATAATGCCATTCTTCTCCATTCTCTGTCTACTGCTTGTTTCTCTCATCTCTCTCCCTTCGCAATCCTTCATTACCACCCCAAAATCATGGCCTCCACCCGTATTGCCTCACACCCAAATGTCAAGGCAGAAGGTTTAAAAAGTTTACATGCAAATAGAGAAGTGAACAGATTGTGGGGCTTGGCTTCTTCTATCAAAAGCATCAAACAGTTCTTTTGACAACAGTGGACTTGGAGTTCCTCCACCAATGGGTGCTTCTTCACAAGTATCCACCAGGTGGAGAGATCAAGAGCCCTTTTGAACAAGGACTTGAAGATGATGAGGTTGTGGTTGTGAATCCAATGTTGTTTCTTGGCATCCATTTTTAGGACCTTTGAAAGTGACCGACGGATATTGATATGCCTTCTCTCCACAACTAGGAAATCAATAAAGATTTGAATTTAGATTGTGATTTTAAGCTTGATTTTACTTCAAAATTTATAGAAATGAATGAGCTGTGTAACGAAAGTGGATAAGTGAGGTTGGTTGGGTTGGGGGTGGAGAAGTGGGAGTGAGGCAATGGAGGGACAGAGGGTTAGCTGCCAATGGAGACATTTTTATCATTGGAGGTTCATACATTTTTATCCTGGTCCATTTCTGCAAACAGAAACTGGACTGAACTCCAGTCATTGTTTGCAGTTGGTAATAGATATTGTAGATTGTATATATATATGCATATATTGGTTTAGAAGATGATGATGAGGGTATTTGAGTAAATTTCTAGTGGTGCACTTTGGTCCACATACTACAAGGGTGTTATGTGGTTATTTTCAAACGACAAGGGAGATGTCCGCACATAGGCCAAACCACGAAGGGGTAAAGTGAAATTTGCCCTATAAAAAATGGACCAAGCCTATTTCTCAATTGCATTTACTAGTTCAAAGTATTTTCCATTCACATTCATCCTAATAATGCCCTCTTGTCTTATTTTTCAGTACTGGACGGAATAAGCAGGGTCAGATGAAGAGTAAACCTAAGGATCCAACCAAGAGACATGTTTTATTTAGGAAACGCTTTGGCTAAGCAGCAGAGACTACTGAATCAGAGAGATTGAATGATATGGTTTCTTCACACCTCTACACTTCTCGATCAGCAGTGTAGTGTAAGACCAAGGATCGATCCAAGATAATGTTATTTGATGTCTTGATGGTTATTGATAAATCGACTATTTAAAATTAGCCTGACAAATAAACAGAGTACTGCTATGGTACACGTATGCATATGAAACGGAATGAGATGTATGCCTCTTGTGTTGGCTATACGAACACATAACGGTCTAGCTTCATTTTTTGCCTCTAGCGTGATCCTTTTTTGTCACTCAAAGTATATCAGTATGTTCCGCCTATTATATGATTGCTTTGGGTTGATTTTGGGGGAAATTGTCGACCAAATCACCTTCGTTGGATAAGAATTTTTTACTCGTCCCATTCCCAAATTGGGACTGGTTGAATATTTGACGGTATAGTGTGTTGGATATGGAAAATGGAAAAGAACATTAGTGAAAGTACAATTAGATTAATTTTTCTCTACTTATTTGGCCAGGTATAATTATTGTAACTTTTAGTGGAGGTCCATGGAATATAATTAGATGTACTAAATGTGAATTTGATGAATTCGAAATTTTAAGTTATATTTGCCATCTCCAGATGTAGTTGTGACGGAGTTAACCAAAAATTAAAAAAAATTACCAGAAAAGGGCCTTCTAATTATCTTATAAAAATGGGATAGTTTACCCTAACTACTCACAAAGAAGAAAGCAGGTTGGATTTTTAGAACTGTTTTTAGATAGGTTTTTGTTTGTGGGCTCGTTTGGAAATTTGATTATTTTAGTTGGTTTTTTTAATTTTTTGCCTATTTTAGTTTGGCTAAAAAAAATTATGTTTGAGATCATAGTTTCTTTTTTGGTTTTTTTTTTTTTTTTTGTAATTGATTTAATGATTGTGAAAAAAAAAGTAAAATGATTAAGATTTTGATGTGATATTTTATGACATTGACTATTTTAATAAAAAAAGCCTCCCATCATTTTTTTTTTCTTTTCTTTCTTTCAGATACATCAAGGTTAGATACATTTTAAAAGTTAAAAAAAAACAAAAACTAAAATATAAAAAAAAGTTACTAAAAAATGATAGCATGTGTACATTTTTATTGTTTGTTTTTAGTGAAATGAAAGCTTATTTAAAAATCAGACCAAATAAAATCCATAAATTTTTAAAACATCATCTTTAAAGTTACTCTTAACGACATGAATTATAACATATTAATTGTTAATTTATTTAGACATAAAATATTATGAGTAAATCTCTCCCACATCAATACGAATTAATTTAAAGGTGATATTTTAAAAGTTTTCAATATTACTCATTACAAAATTAATCATAGTAAAAGTAAAGGATTATTTGTTTTTTAAAAAAGGAAAAAAAAATTATGGGTTTGATTTCTTTTAAGTTGTCATCTTAATTTGAGAGAATATTTGAGCTTAGTATGTCTATTTTGGAATTGATTCCTGATGATATTAACCGTTTATTTTTTAGGACTCGTTAAGTAAAATATTCATTCAAAAAATCAAAATGATTGGATATTGGTAATTATATATTTGAATCATATTTATTTTTAAAAAAAATAGATGAAATATAATTTTAAGAATAATTATCTATTTTTTATAATATAAATTTGATTGAAACATATAATTATTGATATCCGATCATATTAATTTTTTATATAAATATCTTATTCAACAAACTTAATTTTTTATATGAATATTTTACTCAACAAGTCTTAAAAAGTAAATAATTTAAATTATCAAAATAAAACTTACAATAAATTTTACAAATTTCTCAAATTCCCTGGTATTGAGATTAATATAAAAAAATTCAACCCAAAAATTATATATATAGCCGCCTTCTATGAAACAGCATGTGTTATAAATATACATATTTATTATGGTTTTTCAACATTCAAAAGTTGCCCTAGTAAAAGTCTAAGAATGTTCCGCGTCTCAAAACCTAGAAAAATCATGATAAGGTCACTTTTGACAACTTCTACAAAAATTAGTTTATTTAATTTTTTTAGTTAAATAAGTTAAAATTTTATTTTGTTATTTATGAAAAATTTAAAATTTCATTTTTGTTTTTGAGAATAATGTAAAAATAATTTATTTTAACAAAAAAAAATGTTATCAAATCATATGACTTATTAAGGTTAAAAGAGACAATTACCAACCAACCCACTTTCCAAACGAAGTTTTATTTATCTGACTTATAAATTTATCACCGTAAATTTATTTATAAAAATAAGAGACATTGACAAATTTATTACTAAATAAGTTTATCAATAAAATTTAATGAGAATCTCAAAAGTAAGACCAACTGGTATTATGAAAATCATAAACGTGCTAAACAATATACTTATTTGATCTTCACTTATTTGTTCAATTACAATTCAATTATAAATTCTCATATAAGCTACAATTAGAAACTCTAAACTGTAAAGAAAGATTTTGATTCCGTTTGAACTGAACTAATTGGTAACTAATCATATTAAAAAAAGAAGAAGAGCAAGAGGTGGAGGAGATAATATGAGCTGCTCTCTTTAAATAAATATTAAGGCCATATTTGTTTGGGTAGACTAAATTAGGTTAGATTAATATTTTCATGATTAATAGTATTAGGATTACGAATCTCTGTAAATTGTGTATCTTATCCTATATTTGGATTGAGAGGGATTAATAGTTCAGACTTTAACTTAGTTCTTCAGTTTATATCTCACCCCCTCTGTGGGATTGAATAGTCCATTGTATGTATGATAACATATCCGGATGGATTGTTAGTCCATATTTCAATTGTTTAACCAAATATCGAATTAAAAATTTTATTAGACTATTAGTCAAATTCTAAGTTCATGTTCACCCAAATAAATATGGCGTAAGTATAAGATAACACATTATTTTATGTAGTGTTATTAACCAATAAAAAAAGTATAAATAAATTGAGTGATATCTTAACAGTTTAACCATATAATCACCGTTCGTCACCATCACAATATAAGATTTTTATTGATTATAAAATTGTCACAAAATATTATCGTCCAACTAAATATGTATAAAAAAGGAGATGAAAACAAAAAAAAACCTAACATTTTGTTTTAAATAGATCAACACATCCTCACGTAAGGTTTGACTTTCCAACGTGCCCGGCTATTCTTTTTAGGCTTCGAATGGGTAATTTTTTTAATTTTTTTTTTGATTATTTTAATTTAGGATTAAAAAATTTAATTTGGGAAGAATTTTTGATTTTTTTAATTTTTTTAACTTTTTTGTGAGAGAAAGAAAGTAATGATTATGAGTTAGATGCAATATTTTATCTTATTAAACTAAAAAAATCTCTTTTATTTTTTATAACTAAAATAACTAAAAAAACCCTCAAGATTGGCTTCCCAAAAAGAGCCCACTCTTCTTTTTATTTATTATTATTTATTGTATTTTTAGTTTGTTTTTATCGTAAGAATAATTAGCAATGTGTTGGAAATCAATAAAATATTAATTTAAATTCATAATTAGCTGTAAGTCCACATCATTATTTTAATGTGAAATCAATGCTTTAAGATAAGGGGAAATTCTATATATCAATTATTAATTTATTAATATTGTCTTATTAGGTTTAGTCATAATTATTAGATTTGTTTGGAATGTAAGTTGAATTTTTAATTTTTTGACTATTGTAGTGTTTAGATAATTGGTTGTAGCATGGTAGCAACCGCAATATTATTAAGTTTCGAGCGGTATATCTTTTAAGAGGCAATAATACTAATGTATGAATGAGATATACATATTTTTTACCGTAATTGATCATGAAATTAAAATTTTATTTTATTCATATATATATATATATATATATGTGAGTTTAAAAAAGAAGATAAATTGAATATGTAATTAAGTTTTTGTACTAATAATTGAAGTTAGACCCACAAAAGAAAGAAAGCATAAGGTAAATGATGTTTTGTTGAATGGTAATGATATACAAAAGAAAATAAAAAATAAAAATTCTATGCACAATTTTCATACAGAAACATGAGGTGGTTCTTATTGCACCCCAAAAATTAAATTGAGTACCCAATTACTCAAGACATTCTCATATCTAAATTCAAATTTAAATTTTATTTATTTATTTTTAGTTTGACACTCCAAATAATTCAAACCTTATGCCCACCCTTCCCAATCTCCTCCTGGCCACCTCTGTTGCCACCATTGCCTCTCAATACCCCACCCTTCCCACCGTTTGTTGCTCCTCCCTTTTCTTTCACAAACATCGACCGCACTATCTTTTCTTCTTGGATGGGGATTCGCGTTAGGAAAGGGGTCACGACAAGAGAAGAAGAAGAAGAAGAAGAAGAAGAAGAAGAAGTGGCAGTGATGAGCAACAAGAATGGAGAGGGGAGTAGCGGCAAGAGAAAGGACTAGGTTACAGTTTTGTAGCAGAGGAGGCTTGATCAGTGGAGAAGAAGAAGAATGGAGATGAGGTAGCGGCAATGTGGAGATGACAAGTAATGTGGAAGGTATCTGGTGCTAGGGTTAGGGTTTGAGTTTTTGATAAATTCATTTAGAAGAAAAATGGTAGAAAATTTTTTGTTTCCAAAAATATTAATTATCCAGCCAAATTTATAGACTACATTTAAAAATTCTCAAAATCATATGATATGGGGCTTTATTCTCTTACCATTTTTAACTAGAACATCTCCATTATAATTAATAATTTCAATTTCATCACTCCCACATCATTATATTTATAAATCATTTTTTAACTAAAATATTATACTTTGTTCAACAAAAAGTATTTTGCAATCCACATAGGAAAAACATAAATGAATGTAAGTGTATGGATTCAAACCAAATATCTGATCAAAATCACGGTTAATTGCCAATATGCAGCCAGCCCCCACATAATTCTATGAATTCGTTTTTCTAAGTTAAAAATGGTTAGAAATAGTTTTAGCTCATTCAAAAATAAAATAAGCTAAAAAATTAATGAAACAAGTTACAATTATTTTAAGAATGTGGTACGGCCTTAAGAGTAAGTCTTGAGGTCTTAGATTCCATCCTCCTTAGTCCAGTCACTCGGACGATAGCACATTCGGTTAATAAGAGAACTATTTAGGCTTGGACGAATCATACTCAGCCTCCGTTTGAGAAGTGAGTTGACTTTTTGACTTTTTTGAGCTTGGGCTCAAAAGTTTGGTTTGGGAAGGGTTTTTTAACTTTTTAACTTTTTTTACTTTTTTTGTGAGAGAAGAATGTAATGATTATGGGTTAGATGTGATGTTTTGTCTGTTGTGTCTCAAAAGCCTATTCTGTCTTTTGTGGCTCAAAGAGCCAAAAGAACCCAAATGAACTCTTCTCAAACGACACCTTAGTGTCAAGAATGCTGGTTTACATTCTCGCCTATGTGCGAGTGCAAGACTTCCAACTACAAGGTTGAGTGGCCCTGTTATGTAACACCACCGAAGGGTAACCTTTGAGGCTTCAACTCGTTAGGGTCTAATTCCAAAGGTCACCCCTATATGGTTAGACTTTTTAATCATTTTACTTTTTCTCTTACAAAATTGTAAAACAATAAAAGTTCATCCTAAACGGAACTCTTTTAGCTAAATTAAAATAGTCAAAAATTTTAAAAATCAGGCTAAAAAAGTTGTTGGCAAATTATTCTCACACCAAAAAAATAAAAATAAAAATAAAAAAACAAGATAAAACTGTCTCTAGGATCTCGGCACCTTCTTATGTCTGTCACGCCTATAGGTTAGACTTTTCAATCATTTCACTTTTTCATCTCGCACAAAATTATAAAAAGATAAAAATTTATTCTAAACGGAATTTTTTTAATCAAACTAAAATAATCAAAAATCATGCAAAAAAAATTCTTGGCAGATTATCCTCACACAAAAAAACAAAAAAAACCAACGATAAAACCGTTGGCAGTAAGAAAATTAACTGAAGATGAAAAAAATCAAAGAAAACAAGTTTATATCGTTTTTGTACATGAAATTCTTATAAACAAATTATTTTTATATGACTACTACAAACTGGTACTACTTATAGGCGAGTAATCACCGTAGGAATTGGGAATCTCCGCTGACTCCCAGATCTTCTCGTTGAACGCGTCGAGCAAATCATCGTTTACGAAGCGGGTCCGACAGAGAGGGCAGGTCCGGTTGCCATGGTCGATCCAACGGTCGAGGCAGCTCCGGTGGAAGATGTGGCGGCAATTGCTCAGCAGTCGGATGTCGTCGTCGCCGGCGAACTCGTAGAGGCACACAGCGCAGATCTCAGGCGGGTCCACCGGCACCGGCACAAGGTCCGAGAACTTGAGGACGGGGAGGAGTTCGCGGATTGTGTCGGGCGAAACGGAGTGGGGCTCCGGGGGGAATTCGGGTAGGGGAGGCCACGCAATTTGTGGCTCAGGAAAGTCGCGAAGGTAGACAAATCGGAGGAGTTTTTTGATGAAATCGAGAAGGGAAAGTATGAGGAGGATGAGTTTTGGGATGAATCGTCCTGAATAACCAATTGGGAAACCCATTGAGAGAGAGAGAGAGAGAGAGAGATTTGAATTAGTATTGAACTAGTGCTATTACTCTGCGTGCTATATACGAGCAGATGTTGAGGATGAAGATGAAGAGAGAGAGAGAGAGAGAGAGAGGAGTGCCGGTTGAGACGGGCTGATTTTTTTTTCTCGTTTTTTTTGGAAAAAGAATTTTAAATATTTTGTTACATATACTAATTAATATTCATATTAATATATCAATTAGTATTATTTTATTATTATTAACCTCACTTATTATATAAATTATAAATATTTGAAATCTTTAAAATTATGTCACATCATCTGTTAATACATTAATTAATACATATAATATTATTCTTTTATTAATATTTTTATTAAATATCTTATATAGCCTCCGTTTGGAAAGTGGGTTGACTTTTTGACTTTTTAGTTTTTTTTAGTTATTTTAGCCTGAGCTAAAAAGCTTGATTTGGGAAGGACTTTTTGACTTTTTTAACTTTTTTTTGTGAGAGAAAAGTGTAATGATTATGGGTTGAATGTGATGCTTTGTTTGTTATGGCTAAAATAACTTATTTTGTCTTTTGTGACTATTTTAGCCACAAACTCACTTGCCAAACAACACCATAGGTGTGAGTATATTATATGGATTCTATATGAGTACTACACCCATATAAAATATGAAAAATACTAGAGGTTCCAAATTTTCTACCAAATAAATGACCAAATGTGTCACATGGGTGTGGGGCCCACAAAATTGCGGACCCTACACCCATGTGAGACATTTAATCATTTGTTTGGTAGAAAATTTGGTGTCCCTAGCATTACTCATAAAATATTTGGAAAATGTGTAAAAGCATTAATTATTGCCATCACTAATGCTGTGGGAGTGGGTTGTCATAGTGTAGTTTTTTTTTTTTTAACTGGATGCCATATCATTAGTGGTTACTTTAGAACACCACTTTTAATGGTCTCTATCATTACCCAAAATATTTAAAAAAATATTAATAAAATATTTAAAATTTCTATCATTACTTTTTTTTTTTTGGGAGTCATTATCTATGATGGTTGTGTATCATGGTGCATATCATATATATATCTTATAATTATTAAAAAAATAGAGTGTGTATAATAAAATTTTTCATGTATCATATGTACAATTGTTAAGCATTTTTATGCTATATGTTATATATTTTTATGACAAATATTATGTATTTAATTTATAATTTATAAAAAATTATATATTTTGTGATAATATTAGATACTTTTCTGGTAATGTTACATACTTATTTTTATGTAAACATTTTCAATACGTCACATGCTGCATTGGTACACACTATGAATTTCCCCTTTTTAGTTTGTTTTTTTGTTTTTCAAATGTGGTGTTTGGAAGGAAGGGTTGGGTTAAAATAGTTTATTTAATGATAAAATAAATTAAAATAATTAATAAGATAAAATGTGACATATAATTTATAATTATTTTAATTTTTCACTTATAACTATTAAATCAATTACAAAACAACAAAAAAAAATTAAATAACAAACTTTCTAAATATAACTATTTTAGTCAGCATAGTAAAAAAAAAAAAAACTAAATAACAAAATTCCCAAAAAGGAAATTTTATTGAAAAAAAAAATCACAAAAAATACATAAAAAATAAGATTCACATGTATTTAAGATGATTCAAACCACTAATCCGTTACTAATGTATAAGAATTTTAGACACACTAAAAACACAAAAATGCAAAATAGAAAGGCCAAGATTTCTCGAAATTCACTAAAAATAAAAGGCCAAAAAAACAAAAAAAAACTAAGACTATAAAAAAAGTTATTGATCATTTCTAAAAAGTTACTTAATTCATCAAAAAATGCTTTAGAGCTCTAATATAAGAGCTCTAATAGCTCTAATGGGAAGGTGGGACCCACCCTGATGTGATGTTTGTGCCTTGTTTTGTTTTTTTTTTTTTTTTTTTTTTTTTTTTTTTTTGCTTTGACACATCACTAGAGCTCAAATTAGAACTCTAGATTTAGAGCTCTCTAGCATTTCCCCTAAATTCATTTAGCATTGGCGTTGCTACAATCTGTCACTAATTATTTGTCATTTTGCATAATGTTTTTGAAATTGAATTAGTTGAGTTGATCGATTGACCTATCAACCGATTTAAATTCCGGTCCGGAGATAAACATCTATTTAACAATTAAGCCCTATGTCATCTTTAACTTTTGTTCATATTTGCTAAATATATATTTTTATAACATTTTCTTTTAAACATTGTATATAATTAATATATTTCTGTAATGTATCTTAAAATATAAAAATAATTTAAATAAATGTATCTTAATTCTTATATTATTATTAAATAATTTTTAACATATTTATAAAATAATTATGATGTTACGATTTGATTCCAATTCGACTCGATGGTCGAATTGATGACCCATCCATCTGACCTTTTTTGATTCGTTCACCAGTCCGATTTTTAAAACATTAATTTTGCATGTAAAAGATATCTTGGTAATTCTTAAGAAAAATTAATCTAAGATCTCTCTCCCATTTTTAATAATGGAAGAGATTCACAAAATTATTTTATAATGTCTAATGTCTCTCGGCCCCACATCCATATATTACAGAGAAATTTGATTCTCTCAAATCAAATCTCATTTCTCTCTCTCCACTAGGAAAATTCATCTTCATTTTGCGGTAATTGATGGTCAAAACAACACAATGATGGATTTATCGGAGACACCTCATTGCACTGACATTACCAGAAACTGAGGGAGAAAAAACAAGTTCGTGTGACTTCGTCTCCCAAGGTGACTTGTATTGAACAAGTTCGTGTGAAGACGAAGAAAAAACAAGGGAAAAGAATAAGAGGAGATGAAGTGGGTGTGGGTTTTGGAAGAGTTGAGCAGAGAAATTCTAAATTTTTCTGGAGATAAATTTTATGAAAAGTTCAGAGAAGTTCTCTGGATTAAATTTTCTGTGAGTTGATATTGAAGGATCTTACACATTATAAAAATATTAAATGTCTTTTATGCTATAAAATCTTAATACTAGGGATCCTAAAAAAAATTCCCTAATTTTTATTACAAAATAAAAATTAATATAAAATTATCTAATATAATGTAATGTTCATGGTCAACGGCGGACACTCTTTTGGACTTAATCTGTAAATTGCAAAGAAGCAAGTTATTTTTTTTTTTGAACTAGAGAAAGGATGCTCTGTGGTGTCATCATGGCATCTGTAGGCTTAGGCCTCGGGATAACTAATTACCAGCCTAATTTAACTCAATCCATAGGAAGAGACCCACCACCAAAGCACTAATAAAGTGCAACCTTACATGCCACAGACAAGCCCAGATTTTAATCGGAGTACAAGCGAGATCTCTGCAGAGAACCGGCAAAGAAGTAAGTTTCATGTCTTATAATTCATCCCATTATCCAAAAAGTAGTGACCCCACAATTTATTTTATATTATTAATTTTTCAGATATAATTGAATCGGGTGTCAACAATTTATTTTTTAGAAAATTTTAATATCCATTCTTTTAAAAATATGTACCATATATATTTATTATGCCATTTTATTTTTTAATTATAACTAATTTTTTATTTAGTTATGATATTATTTTAATTATGTCTCATGTTATGTTAGTTATGATATATATATATTTTTTAGTTATGGTTTCAAAAATTAAATTAAATTATTTTTTAAAAATTTATAAGATACGTATAATTCACACCCTTGAAGGGTATGCACCATGTTTCCCTATTTTTATACAATAAATTTTTATATAGAACAACCAACGTGGAGTGTGCCTTGCCTAATTTTGTTATCATGGACCTTTGTAAAATTCTATAAATACACATTATTTTGTGTGTATTATATATTCTTAATTATAAATTGGGTCATGCAATGCAAAATGTATGTACTATATATAAGTTATGATATTTATGGTGTTTATTATTACAAATGTTATAATTAATTTTTTTTCATTCATAACTTAAAAAAATGATTCATAACTAAGCAGCATATAAGTTATAATTATATATTTTTTGAATCAAAACTAAAATAATGTCATAACTAATATTACAATGAGAGTGTTTGGCAATAGGTCTTTTTGGTTTTTTGGATTAAAATAACATTAAAAGACAAAACAAACTAAAATAGTCGATAAGACAAAATTTCATATCAAATCCATAATCATTTCATTTTTTTTTTCACAAACATCACATCTAACTATAAAAAAATTCAACCCTCTTCTCAAACATAAACTATTTTAGCCTATCAAAATAGCCAACTTTCCGAACACACCTAATGAATTATAACTAATCAAACACCACATAAGCTATAACTAAAGATTTTTTTAGTCTAACTAAAATAATATCACAAAAAATTATAACTAATACCATAATGAGTCATAATTAAATTATAACAAACATCACAATAAATAATAATCTAATCATAATTAATATTGTAATATATCATAATAAAAAATTATAAAAATCACAACTGAAGCACATGGTACACACCCTAGGATATGTATCATAGAATTTTTTTCTTATAAATTTAGTAGTGTTTAGTTATGCTGCTTGAGGTGATTGACGAGTCACTTAAAACGATGATTGAATTATAAATTTAAGAAAGAATTTAAAAAAAAAAAAAAGAAAAAGGAACGGGAACGGGAACGGGAACGGGAACGGGAACGGGATAGCATGACCCAATTTATAATTAGAAATATATAATAGAAGTATAAAAACAACCACAAACAAGGATTTTTTTTCCTTCCCGTATTAACAAATAATTAAAAAATGAATAGCCTTGATGTTTATAACTATATTTATAATAGTGAACAGCCTAATATGATTAGGAAATAACTAATTAAGCTATTCCTTACGAATTAAGTTAAAAATAAAAGACGTTAAAAATGAAAAATTCAAGTCAAGCTCAAATTTGAATATTAGAGACTTTAAGAAACTTACTAGCAATAAGAAAGATGGATTTTACTATATGATATGTATAGTTAGAATTATTTTATGTGATTGGTATTATATTAGTAGAGTCATTGAATTGAATAAATTTTTTTATACAAATTAATTGCAAAATTATATGTTTTTTAAAATGATAAAATCACAAAATTAAGGGTATAAATGATGGAATTAACTCAAAATGGG